TCTAAATAAACTTTTAGAACTCTTACCCTACACCCCAATCAAAAATTAGAAAGGATTCAGATGCAATATGACCTTAAGAAGATACTTCAGAGGCAAATGACAGCTTCACTTAATGAAAAAAGCCAGAATTTCCACAAAATAGAACTGTTTACTGGCCAGCTCTAATGAAAATCCATAATCCTTGAGACGTTCCAAAGACGGCAGGGTAATAAAAAAATTAGCATAAAAGGTAAGACTTCAAAATTTCCAACTCTTTCATGGCCTGTATTATAAAAGAGGCATGATAGTACAAAATAAACATCCTTTACCTTCTAGGATATGCAGGTCTGTGGGACTTGAACTGCTGCACAGCAGCAGCTGGTTTTACTACTGACAGCAAAATCTCTTACCTAACTAGCACTGGAGAGAAAAACAATTCCTGGGGTTTTGAGCGATAGCCCTGATCATCATGTTGAGAGGAGAAGATGCAAAACCAAGCGCTCGTTCCATTGGAAAAAAGACTTATTTGGAGAAGTATCCACTAACAGCTGGGAAGAAAGAGAAAACTGGACAGTCCAATGAGTAAAGGCACAAGGAGCATCTCAGACCTCTTTAGGACAGCTATTCAGACTTCATTGTTCACTGTCCCCAAGAAAAGCTATGCACTGTTAATAGGATTCAGAAAGCCCTAATGGTCAAAGTAGCTCAAAGGACGTTTTGAGGGGCGAGGTGAAGAAGAGGTGTGTATCTTCAAGAACAGATGCTTTACTCGAATTCCGTGGAGATACACATCTCCATTCAAGGTTTTCAACTTTCTTGAGTTACACTCCTACAGGAAACTCCCACAAAACAGCAAGCGCTACTTTTCTACCCTCACCTGACTAGTCTAGTGCAGACCTTCCCAACATCCATCTCGGTTAATTTGCCTGGTCTGTGACATCCCACAGACCATACCTGGCTGGCCTCAGCTCTCCTCCATGGAGACTAGCCAGGGTTGCTAGTCCTGGCAGAGAAAGGTTTGCTACTTCTGAGCTATAGCACAAGCAACTTGCTTTTTCTGTGCCCACAATACATTTCTTTGCTGACATTAACCAAGTAGGTATGCTGCATTTCAGGACAAATGAAGTGCCAAACTGCTCATTATTAAGTATGAATTCAGATAAACTGCAGTATTTTCCTTTAAGCTGAAGTCAGAGGCTTTTAAACAAAGAAAAAGTCTTCAAAGCTAGGAAATGCCATCTTCTTTACAAAGGCCCACTTCAGCTCTAAAGAAACATCCAAAATGGAAAATCCTTAGGTAAATTCAGGGAAGAATGGGGCATTTAACTTAGCACCCTCCTGTACCAGTTTCAAGACTTGTCAGTCTCACACTACCGTATCTGGATGTGTAGATTAGTTAACATTTGACAGGGAAATAGTCAAAACTAGTTTAAACACAGAGCTATTATCACTGTGCTTTTTACCAATCAACAGGCATGAATGTACAATGGCATGCAGAAGACTACACTTAAATAATCTGTACCTATAATGAGTGGTAATTAACTGTATTTGGAGTCAGGCAGCTTACACAATAGAATAAAATAACACACAGCAACTAAAGGAAATCTGTGTTTTGTGTACTGTTCCAGACCTGCCAGAATTCCAGAGTCCAAAATAAAATGCAGTAACTGCTGGAGATAGTAAGATGCCCTTAAAATATAGACACCAAGGATTATTTAATTGCTCATTATGCTTTCAAAACAGTAAGCTTTCCATTAGATTTTTTGTTTTGCTTAAAAGTTTAGTTTGATTAAATGATTATTTGGATCACGATTATTCAAAGTGGTCCATGACACAATGATCAGGAAACGCTCTTGCTGATATGAGTCCTTTTAAATAGTTTGTGCAGACCTTTTGCTGCTGCTGAACTTGCATTACTTCAAAACTGAAAGGCAAAAAGCAAGAACTTAGAAGTGCACCATGTTTTCGTAAGCTTCAAGAAAGCAAAATGTAACCTACACTGAATTAGTACATAGCATTAATTTTCACAGAGAGGAAGCAGTTTCCTGTGTAGTTATATAAACTTGAATCAATTTCCTGTTTGTTGCCCAGATTTTCTTCTTTTTTGGAAGATGCTAGACTTAATTAATGACAGTCAATACTTACCTTGCAGATTAACTGGTTTAACAGTGTTTACATTTTCACTTCACTAGTGTGGTTCATCCCTTTACGAAAAGGAACTCAACATTAAGGAGCAACGCAAGAGTCCTCTATTTACCTTTCTGATTTCATACTAGCATCTTATGTGCATCTTCAGCAATTACCATTGATCTTCTATGAACATGGATGCAAACCCACAAAATCCAGGTTTGGTTAAAAAAGGTGATAAAATGCTAAATGCCAGATAACATCAGGTCTTTTCTCATGTATATTTTAACAACAAATTAGCCAGAGTACTTAAATGAGGTAATTTTAGATGCATCCATGACATATGAGGCACACTTCTAATCTGCTTATAAACTGAATTATTTCTGCATTTAAGCAATTTTATTTATTAGGCAATCAAGTGCCATTTTCCCAGCAAGATCTTCACTGGAAACCTTGAGAATTCGTATTCCCAACTAGAAGCACCATTAGCATTAAAAAAAAGCATCCCTGAATTAGAGATATTTATCTGGACCACTTTCAGAATCTAAAAATTTTCTTTCTGTAACACCACAACATACACTTCCTACTCTAGCAATTATTCCAGATGAACAATTATATAAGGCTCCCAACTTTCTCCTCTGCCTTGGAAAAAAGTATTCTTGATTTAGCCAGTAGAAAGTCAAGCAAAACTTTTCAAGACAAATTAGTAATGTTAACAGTTATAATTTCACTTGCACTTTGTTCTGCAACTTCAGTGTTTATTTAAGCGAAGTTTGTTTTTTAATACTAGGGGACACTGCCATTTTAGATAGACATTAGATGTTGATAAAATACCCAGCCCAAGGCTTAGTCTTCTCAAAAAGGAAGTTTATGAATCATCAACCCATAACAAACAGAGTAAAATGTACAAAGGAGGACTTTTGCCTCCAACAGCTGGCCTGATCAGCTTCTGTCAGTAGCCATGATCCAGCCCCCTCAAGAGGCCTATCTGTGCAACCTCAGATGAGCCACTAGGGCTGGAAAGCAAAACAGGGCCTTGGGATAGGGTTTACCTTCTCTCTTACCTTGCTGATGGTCTGAGTCCTTACAGCAGTTTCCTGCAAGAGTTGTTTGCTTACTGCGGTACAGGTCTCCCCAGTGGAGCTAGTCCACTTAATAAACATACACTTTCAGAGCCAAAATTCAGAGCAATGGCTTTACGCTCCCCTGCCATATGTTAACTAGTATTACTTGCAAATGTTAAATCCTGTTAAGGAATCTGATTGTAACTGTAGAAACTGGCTTGGTATTTTATGTAGCTGATAGTATTTAGGAGTCCTGCGCACTGATTCATACCATCTGGCCTCACAGCACTGAGGCTTTCTTTATGCTAAGTGCAGTGCGTCCAGCCCCAGCTATCACAGCCCTCTTGTGGAGGTGCAGGAGGGAGTTTTCATGGCACTCACCCATCATGGCTTGCCTTTGCTCATCTGCCTTCTGGGCTGCTCTTAACTCAGCACAACTGCTTTTCAATCAGGCTTGGCTGAAGACGGTGTCACTTCTCCCTCTGTGCATTCAAGGGAGACCTTAGCAGTGAAAAGCAGAGACCTATGGGGACTTCTGAGCACTTGCCGCCCACCCCGAGGTGACTCCTGCTCCAAGCCCTGCAGGGTTGCTCTGTCTGCCTTGCCAAGCCCACCAGAGCACTGTTGAGCAAAAACCCTACACCCAAGCTTTGGTACACCATTCACTTCTCTATTGGCATCTCTCATTGCACAGGAGCAGAAACAGCTATTTTCGTCTTTTTTTCCACCTCCTCTAAGGAGAGAGGGTGAGGATGTTCACTTTTAACTACCAAGCAGGTAGTGCTTAGACACTATCAGCATACTTCAGGACAACACTGTTACATACCTGTCAGAAACCTGCTGGGATTTGTCAGCTGGCTCTGTGCCAGTCATGCCTATGTTTTGTTTTTTATTATCTATCAAAACTTTTATTGAAAGCTTTTCCCCTCAGGCTTTTTAGATAGTTGCCCAAGTCCAAGAGCTGCGGTGCCATGCCTAAACCCAGGTGTGGCCACACACATACCACTTCAGGAAAAGCAATGTTTACATCCCAGTTGTGTCTCAGCTCTCTAAAGATTGATTATGATGAAGATTTCATCACATTTGCAATTTCTGTTCCCTAAGATGTCAATATTTCCTCTTCTCAAGGGATCTCTTACCATGTCAAGGCTTATATAGGCAGTGGCAAAACGATCAATCACAGAAATAGTTTTGGCATCAGAAAAACCATTTTAAACAATAAAGGCCACATCAGGGACACCCAACAGAACCCAAACCAAACCTACTAAGAATATCCAAAACTGCCTATACACCACAGTTCTATCATACCCAAAAACTGACTCCCGACTATAAAGTCTCAAAGACAAGAGTTTAATATTGACAAAAAAAAACCCTTAAGTCAGTGGTATTTTCTTCCTTGAAATAACATACTGGTCATATGAAAGTCACTGAAGAGGTCTGCTTTTAGCTCGGAAGACTTTTACACTTCTGTAAAAACTTTTTCAAAACAGTTTTTACACTTTTTCAAAACTTTTACTTCTGAACTCAAAAACCCTAATTCCAAATGTGTGATGTTAACACAAACTGAAAATACCTGGGATAAAGAACAAATTCAGTTGTTCAGATTCTAGCAGTTACACAAGGCCTTTCAACGCCTTCCCCATAACATGAGAAGTTCTTCAGTATCTTTCCCACCACCACTATTTCAAGACTCACATGGTTCTTTAAAATACTAATGGGGTTAAACTGAAACCAAGTGTCATATGCTTGTCTTCTGTGAAGGTCTGAAGCCACCCTGTTTCAATTATTTGGTTATTCAGTGCAGAAAGTTAAAGATCACAGAAGTTATAACAGCTTTTAATACTCCGTTAATATTATAGATTAAAAATTATTGCATAGTCTTATGCACTTCCTTAAACAGCATTCTCTGGAAATTAAACATTTTAATATAAAAGAAGCAAGTCTTTAAAACATTAATTGCTTTCACTACCTCGATCTTCTATCCTTTTTTGATTTGTCAGTACATTTGTCCATTGTTTTCTCATTGTCTCCTCTGCACTTGGGGCAATACCATTTCCCCTTTGGTTTGTAGGTGAGTCCAACACAAGAAAAGTGGAACCACTCGATAGGACACTGTTCGTTATCACACCCTATCATTTCCCCGTAAGACACTTGGTTGCATAAGCAGTAGGTTGGTTCATTGGGATCAATTGCAAACTCTACAGGTGAAACCTCTCTCTCTTGCTTGGCTTTGGAGCGTTTTTTCTTCTTGGAAGATTTTGATCTTTTTTCTTTAGGTGGCTGGTCATCACAGTCATCAATACCGTTTGCTATATGGCACAGATCACGGCTTTCGCTGGTTCGCTGGCGACGAGGCCTACGTGACGATCTCTCCGGCTGGCAGGACTCCATCTTTGCCTTTTCTAGAGGCTTTTCGTTCTCAGACAGATCTTGAAAACACTGAGAGTGTGTTTCCATTTGCCGGGCCCTATTCTCTACCAGTTCTAGCATCTGAGTAACTATTTGGATTTTTTCATCTCCAAGTTCTTGGCTGTTGATTAATGCACGCTGAAGATGCTGCTGTAAGCGTTTCTTCTGAACAGGATCATTTTCTGATTTGTATTTTTCATAGACATCATCTATTTCTTTTAATGCTTCTATAAAATAAGATAATAAGAAAAATTACAAGAGATGGAACATGCTCAAGAAAATATAGAAATGTATTTCTAACTTATGAGAAATAGTACAAATTTTAATTACAGGATAGCCTAGTGTGCTAAATCAGCTATTTTATTCAAACTGCATGTGGCCATCAAATCAGTGTTTAAGATAACAATCTGTTGCAAGAAAAAGTTCTCAAGTTCTAAAAAAAGTAAGCTTAATTTAGCCCTTGAAAAAAGAAAAGATAACCCAAGAAAGGGGACTATAGCTGCTGGAGTATGGATAGTCCAGATCCTAAAAAGCAGGAATCTCTGTTGAGAGTCCTCATCACAGTAGTTCCAAACCCCTGGCCTACAAATCAAAGCAACAGCTTGTTGTATCACAGGTAGAAACTCAGAATTCATATAATCATTACATATCATTATATATAACACTCCAGAATTAGGATATTCAGGTACTCTGTCTTCCCCTTCTTGCTCATCTAAAAGCTTGGTATTACACTTTCAATTAGACATCATTATAAACGGCCTATGACAACTGAAGTTACACAATAGCAAATTCACAATCAGGATTTAAATCCATTTAAACCACTCAAAAAGCTTTTCCTATTACCAACACAAATTAATAGGAAGTTGCATTTTAAATAAAGGGTGAACTTCTCAAAATAGGTGACCTACTGTTCAGTGCATCACTGGATATTTTTAAGCAACTAGTAATGAGTGGCTCAGAATTGGACTTCTAAGCTTTTCTTCTTGCAAGTCATGCAAAATAACTGCATGAGTTGCTGCGAATCTTTCACAGAATTTAGTTCTTAGAAGCAAGTTTAGTGAACCCAAATATAAGATTAACAAATGCCTTATTAGCTAGTCTTAGTCTAACTCTACTGTTCTATAGTGCTGGATTTTAAAATAATGTTTTCCAAACCAAAAGTTATACTACATCTATACATAAAAGACAGAAATTGCTAACGTAGAAGGAAATAGTAGAACTGACAGTGAAGCCTGATGCAGTGTTAGATACAGAACTGTTTCCTTCAGAAAAAACTTAAGGATTTTATTTGAACAGGCAAAGGAATTTATGAATGATACTATTTACTCCTAAAGCGAGAAGATATGCAGTACAATCCATCTCTTCCTAAAGACCTGTGTTTCACAAATTGGCTTTCATTTTTAAAGACTTTGTCTGCATTGTACAGTTGTGAAACAATTCAAGCTTGTGCTAAATGGAAGCCACAGATATTATCTCAACATTGTTCACA